ACTGATCACATTAAGTCAAATCTGAATTTAAGTTGAGATTAAATTTTCAAATTTGAATCATTAGTAGTTAAAAAAAAACCTCAGTACAGGTGAATTTTATTGTCAATTTTTTATTTAAATTGTAGTTTACGTTTTTTGTAGGTTTAAGAAAATGGTAGTTTAAATTTTTGTAGCTTCAACAAAATGGTAGTTTAATCTAATCGTAGTTTTACCCAAAAGTAGTTCAATCCAAAAGTATTTTAATTCATTAGTAGTTTAACCCAATAGTAGTTTAATCCCACTGTAGTTTAATTCACTTGTAGCCTAATCGAAAATAATTTTATCCAATAGTATTTTCAAATCAGAGATAGAATTCAAACTAAAAATACAATTTTTAATTATATTATTTTTTCAAAAAGTATAGCAAAGCTAAAAAAGAACCACCTTTTACTGACTCTTATTAATTTTTTAATTAATATTCATTATATTGTAAAATCGATTTGTCGCTAAAGATCTAAAGATGGGGTTGAGGGTAAAGGGGGTGAGGGGGGGTTAAAGGGAGATTATACTCCATTACATAATATAATGGTTTAAGGGTATATACCCAAAGCGTCCAACATAATATCGAGCTTGGAAAATCCACTTATATTTGCGGATAGTTAAAAATAATGAATTGATAAATATTAATTTCTTGCGAGAAAATTAACGCGAACCGCGCGTATATATATATACAGTCATGTACATGGCGTTAATGTAATTACTTTTTCAAATAATGAAAATAAGATGTTTTCTTGGGTTTTCTTTTCATTTTTCTTAAAAACTAATTTAGGGAATTATAATAGAAAAATATTTGTTTTTAAAATTGTTTTTTGTATTAATAATCAGACGTTTCATTTTTAAAATAAAATATTTTTTTTTTTATTATTGAGAGATGGAATATTTTTTTCGTCTAAAGGGTACATTAGAGAATGGGCGTGTAATATAAGGGTTGATTGTAAAGTGAAATGATGAAAGCATTAAGTCTGGATGGAAACCTCAAACCAAGAAGGAAGTTGATATGAATTTGTTTCCCCGTTAATGAGAAAATACCCCCGTTGCATGCACAAGAAGAGAGAGAGAGAGAGAAACTGAGAGAGAGGTTCTCTCCCGACATCCGCAAACGTTCACCGCGAGATAATCTCATTGTCCTCTAAATGCTAGAGCAAATAATTGGACCTAGGATAATATTATCGTAGGCGCGTACTTAGGTTGGTACTTGGTGCATAGTGCAATAAGTTCCATCGTCGTCGTCGTCTTCGTTGCAAAGCTTTCGCGTAGAAATACATGCTGTATATATGTATATGTATGTATATATGCCGAATATAGTAGTAGCAGGTAGCGCAGATGTTTTAACTGCTAGGTATCGTTTAATTAGTCATCATCCAGGGTAATCTCCGTATTCGAATAGGGAAGGGTAACGAGTCTACTTGGTACTACGCGGCAGGTCTGAACTTGGTTCTAATCGGAGATAAATCAATAATTCGCTTAGTGCGACTCGAGGTAAAGGTTATATGCATTCGTTAACGCGCGTTCCTTCATTCCAATTTACAAAATCGACTAGTGACTGTATCGCTATATATGAACGTTCATGTTAAATTTCATTATAACTTTCAGTATAATTTCCACTTTACGTTAATTAATTGTAAAATGTAAGTCTTGCACTTTAAGGTATGAGAGAAAAAACTTTTTTTTAAGTTTTAACAAAAAGTTTTTCATATTAAATAATTTTTAGTTTTATACTAAATCATTAGTATTTGTTTTGATTTTCTATTGCATTTTTTCGTTGTGAAAAAAAATGTCCAATTGTGTCAGGATTCGAACACACGACGCATAAGTTGCCTCGCAGTTTTCGATGCCTTAACGACTGCGACCATCTCGAAATTTAGAAATACGAATCAGGTATATTTTTCTATCAAGCTTTAAATCTATTTTTAAAAAAACGAAAATATTTTTAATTTAGAAATTATTTGTAAAAATTGTTTCAAAATACAATTTTCGTCGGGAAAAATTTTATAAACTGTTTCTTTTTAAGTTTTAATATAAAAAAAAGAAGTCTTTTAAGAAGTTGTCAGTAAAAAGAAAAAAGGTCAACATATACACATTTAATGAGAATTTTACGAGGTCTCATATTTTCCGTCAAAGTGTTGATTAACTCTTATATTAGAAAAAATCTCGATGTGAAATGAGAAGTCAATTAATTACTGTTTATTAAAATATTATTAAAAACGTTAAAATATTTATTAGATGATATCACCTTTTTTTTATGGTTCATTATTACTTGCATAAAAAAATATTAATATTTAAAAAACATGAAAGAAAATGGATTTTTTTTTCATTTTTTAATATTTGAAAAAAAAATTAATTTTCCCAGTAATATAAAAAAAAATGTTTATTGTATTTCCTTAATGGGAATTTATTTTCTCTTTTATTTTATAATACGTGATACATATATATCTATCTATGTAGACAATTGCTCTATTTATTATGTTTCAAGACCCTTATTTTTTACTTTGTAAAATTTTAGTGCCCTTTGTTCATTGCAGTCATTCATTTAATTTGTTAAAACATTTTAATTCCCTGTGTGCTTCTTTCGTGTAAAGCAACATTAATTCCTTACTGAGCTTCACAAAGTTTTCATGAAAAGCCTTTCTTTCTTTTATTTTTGCGCTCAATTAAGTCAACTTGTAGTAAATGCCATTTCAACGAGAAAGGAAATTCATTTATTTAAAATTATTATTTTTATATTATGAAGTTGGAAAAAAATATTATTATTAAAAAAAAAATAAGTTTATTTATTCAAACATACGGGCAAATGCCCATTAAGTTAATAATATTTATTATTATTATTATTATTATTAAATCATTGAATAATTATTATTTAAAACCAACTGAATAATAAAATGGTTAAAATTTTTTTAAGTTAATTAACTTTTTTATAGTGTTTTGTCAATTATAAAGTGAAATTGATATATAACATTTAAATAAATAAAATTTAACGTTGTTTCGGAGTGGTACATTTGTATATATAGACACATTTTATATTGAAATGTTCTATGGATACATGTATATAAATTTGTAAAAGCGCTGAAGTGCGTATCATCTGCTTTCATGGTCGATTGAAAACGCCTGTTAATTATCGGCGCGGGCAATTGATTAACAATCGTTGAACCCTACAAGGAAGAAGGGTTCTCTTTCACCCCAAAAACCACTGCCCCTTTCCATTGTTATCTCCACTTTTGTGTATAGTCCTTGCACGTGTACATGAAGTATTTCTAGTCAGGATTTATAGCGATGTGCTCTCTCGTACAAACACACATATACGTATATTTGCACACATTTTCTTCAAAAACATTACTTATATATATACATACACACACAAGACATTGCCCTTTAGTGAATGCTTATATAAAGGGATGATAAATTACAAAAATGCCAATATAAATTCACAATATATAAATATAAATGTGTGTGTGTGTAGATTTTCCCAATTTTCTATTATAACGTTTTGTAATTGCACAAATTTAATATACCGTACGTATTTTTCTCGTTACTATTCTCTTAGGGGTTTTCCCCTTTTAATTTGATATATTGAGTAAATCCTTTGAGGCGAAAAAATTTTTTCTTTTCATTATTTAAAATAACATCTACATTAAAGAAGTGGATATTTTTCCCTCTTTATTTTCGCATTCTACTTTCATTTTTCATTCCATATATTTTCTATAAAAATAAATTGGGAAAAAAATGACACTTCTTTTTTTAATCAAAAAGATGTAAATTTTATTTTTTACAACTTGAAGAAAAAATTAATAATTGAAAATTTAAAATAAACATTCTTGTAATGTAGTTAGGAACGTGTCTTCATACCAAAAATAGAGTTCATCATCATGTTAAAAAAAAGTAATCCCTCCCTTGTCACTATAACTAATTGAAATTTAATATCGAAATCCCAATTTACATATTAATAATAGCAGTATAAGGACAAACAAAGTCTGATTAAAGGTAAAAACCATCGTTAAAAGTGTATAGGTATACTCACAAAATGAATATGTCGAGAGAAAATAAATTATAATTTTTTAATTTCAAAAAGAAGATAGATTTAATAATTTAATTTTAAAATAATTTACAAACGTAAATAATAAATTAAAATTTTTTGGTATACTTATTAAGTAAATAGCGGTACTTAATTATTTCATTAGAAAATGTACCGATAAAAACAAAAAAATATCATTGCATAATGGTAAATATTCCCATACTGTATTGTAATATGTACTATACCTAGTAAGATAAAATATACTCGTTTTTAATTATTTGCCTACTAAAAGTACCGAAAAATCCAAATATTACAAAAGTATGGTAAAGATTACAAGAATGTATTGTAATATATATTATTCCTACTGTAGGATAAAATTTGCTTTGCTGTATAGTAAAATTTACTTTGGTAAAGATTATTATTGTAACCAAAATATCATAGCAGAATGGTAAATATTCCCATACTGTTTTGTAATATATATTATACCCACTGTAGGATAAAATGTACTCGTTCATAATTACTTGCCTACCAAGAGTACCGATAAAAATCCAAATATTACAAAAGTATGGTAGAGATTACAATAATGTATTGTAATATATGTTATTCCTACTGTAGGATAAAATTTTCTATTCTGTATAGTAATATTTACTATAGTAAACATTGCCATAATGTATGTGAATATACAATCTTTCTTTTATTTAAAAAAAAAATTAAATTTCAAGAAAAAATTCTGAAACAAAGAAATACTGAATTACATTTCTAATTATAATTTAATAGTAACTTTTCTTTTTGTTTTATGTATTTTGTATAAATTCCCCGAAACCCTTTTTTACTAACCCCCTTTCACGTACGACGATATTTATTTGCACGTGCAAAAAAAAAAAAAAAAAAAAAAAGATAAAAGTGAAAATGTGTATAGGTTGTGAAAAATTCGCGAATGTTTGTGTTTCAGAATGCAGGGAGTGGCGTGTCGGAAAGGGTGGTGGTTCACCATTCTATGGACGGCGTCGGTAGCTGTGCTGTTAGCCGGACTACCCCTCGCAAACGGTGAGTCACTTTTACTATAATACTTACCGCTTAGGTTCCGTGCACTGGAAGCTACAAGCAAACCCTCTTCCCCCCTTTCTCTCTCTACTCTTTCGCCACATCCCAGTCCGTTCGCCGCGATATGGTGTGCGCACAAGGTCGGACGCTTTTTTGGGGTATGAGAGAGAGAGAGAGAAAGAGAGGGTTGGTTGGAAATTTCGTGGATTCCGCCATAAGCGGGGTCAAGAGGAAGGGGGAGGAGGAACGGTTTTCCGAGCAAATATGGTAACGGTATAACCGCTCGAGAGAGAGAGAAAGCGTTCCGGTATTTCGATAATTCATTTATCCGGGTTCATGTATGCACCATCATTGATCCGGATGCCGATTTCTTTCTCGGTCTATCTACAGTAGAGAGGTAAAAGGGGTTTGGGAGGGTAGGATAGAGTTTCATGGAGGCGAGAGAGAGAAAGAGGAAAAAAAAGTAGATAGAGGCTATTTGCTGCAGTTGAGATATATATAGAAACAGACAAAATTTCTCCTAGAGTAATTGCCTTATTACTAGAGCCGATGGAGGCAGGTGCATTTCTCGATACTTCACATTTTCTAGCATTGATACATACATACACATACAACCCAAGTGTCGAGATTTGATTTATAAACGATGGGATCGCGCTCTCTCGGAAAGCGGTTTCAAATTCCAACATGAGCGAGGATATTGAGCAGGCTTTGCACGAGATATCGTGGGGTATTTGCTCCATTGTAAAGCCTATATACCATACGTGAAACTTTTATATATTATTTTTCTCTATAGCCCAAGAGAAAAATTTTTCTCTCCACTATACAATTTCTGTTTTTCTTTCTTTATTTCTCTTTATTTTTTATTTCTTGATGAATCGCCATCTGATTAATTTTGTTACGTTGCGTTTTCGTGCTATTACTTTCCACTAGTGGTTTTGCACTTTTATCTCGATTGTATGTGCGCGCGGCAAGATCTAACAAGGGGATAAATGTTTTCTACACTCGTTAAAAAGGAAAAGGAACGCTGGAGAAAAATTGATTGTTCACTTATGTGGTGTTCCTTTTTTTTTTATATTATTATGTCGAGAGACGATAATAATTTTACTTTCCTTGGACAAATGTCACTTTCCGCACCTTTTGTAATCAATTCAAATGTCTGCAAGTTGTTTGCATAATATATTCGAATTACACGTTGTTTATTTAAAAAGTAGAAAAGGCAATTCTAATTTGTACACGGAGAAAAATGATTTTTCTTAATATAGAAGAAGCAAATTTTTTGCTCGTCTAACAAATCTGATTTGTTGCAATACACTTTTTGTAAGTCCAACAAACCTGGTTTGTACGTCTTACAATTCGAATTTGTTGTAATAACAGAGAAAACAAAAAATTTGTTTTTATGACAAGCCGGATTTGTTATATTAAAAATCCGGATACGAAGTTTTAGTGATTCGGAATCAGAACAAGAATTTAATAAAAAAAAATAGTTTTGTAGTTTTAAATCCTTTTGGATTACTGCATGGCAAGTACAACTGAAAATCCTTTACAGATGTACAAAAATTAATCCTCTTGCGATTTTCAGTTTGATGCTTTTGCTATAATCACTATGTAAATGTTTGTAATCCTTTTGTAAACCAACAGATTTTGGTTTGTTGTGTAACATTCTGTTATATTTTATTCAAAACATACTAATTAATTTCTTCTAATTTTCTTCCGCTTTGTGTTATAGGTTTAATTTTAACAAATAGACAACAATCTAAAATCTTTATAGATTATTAAGTACCCTAAATCCAAAATCTGTACAGATTAATAAGTATCATAAACTGTACAGCAGATTTTTGTTATTTTTTTCCCTCACAAATCAAATAAAAATTTTTGTTTTTGATGCTATTAGAATGGAATTGTACAAATCTAAAAGATTTGTTTTGTTTAAGACAATTTAACTTTCTCAGCTGCAACAAGTAATCGAATTGATTGTCTATAGGAGCGAGCCGCGGGAGAATGAAGATCAATGCTCGACGATTTGGTGTTCCCTTTAGCGCTTTAATGAAATAAAAGAAGCAGTATAGCTTTTAAAGAAAAAGGCTCTTGCCTTTTTCATTTATATATATACACACCGTTCTGACAACAATTCTGAACATAATCAATGTAAATTGCACTTTCATTTTCAAGAGTGTACAAAAAGTACTTTGAAGTTTTTTTTTTTTTTTTTTTTTATTTACGGAAGTTGAAGGAGGTTGCTGCTCTCGCGACCAATGAGGTTACATCGACCTGAGGCCCATTAGCGAATATGTATAGATATATATTGTATATATAGTGAGAGAGGGTTATTCAGAAGAAGTTTTGTGAGAGAAGAGAAACGAGAGGCGTAGTTTTTCGTTCGTTCGTCGCCTCCAGGGCTAACTAGCGTTACTGCCAATTATATGCAGCCTCTGTTGAAGCTATACCTCTTCAACATCAACCCTCTTATCTCTCTCTCACTCTCTCTCTCTCTCTCCATTCCCCTCCTTTCTTTACATTGTATCCATTCCATTTACCTACCAAAGATTTCATTCACACGCCTGTTCATTCAGTGGCCCGTTCATTTATCCGATAAGTTCGCTAGCTGCGGATATGCTGAATAAGCGCAAATTAATCCCAGCTTTATTGAGGTTAACACCACCAGCAGCATTTCTACGAACAGATGAAAATCATGATGACTACCATAGATTTGAATATTTTTTATGTCCCTTTTTTTTGCCCCTTTCTTTTTTTGCACATACAGAGGACAAAAAGCAATCATATATGTGCTTAGGAAGATATGCGATTCTTTTGTCTTTTCGATGAAGAGCATATCGAGGAAGGACACTTTTTTTTGTTTATTCGGAAAGTACTCATTAAAAGGAGTGTTTCTTTTTTTTCCATTTTTTCTCTGTTTCCTTCTTTTACTTCTTTAAAATCGAGGGAGTATTTTAAATCTTTCTGAAATATTTTAGCTTTCGCGCGGTAAAAGTAGGTCGAACATATATAAGAACTTAGTGATTTGAAAGCTTTATTGACAGAAGCATATATTTTGGTATTACGAAACAGTATGTTATGTGTTATATACGTTATATTTCTAGAAGAAAAATGTAAATTTCTTTTGATGGATTTTATTCGTGTTTGTAACCTCGATAGAGTAGTTTTTTTTATTACTTTTTGGCATTTAAGTGCTTTTGTGTAAAGTTTCCTTTTGGGTTTTGTTTCATTTAGTGATTATTCCAAAAGTATTTAGAACTAATAAATTATTCTTTTATTAAATTCTTGTTTTTTGATATTAAATCACTAAAACTTAATTATTTGATTTATTTAACATTTTCTAAATACAGGGAGAGAAAGAAATTATTAAATCTAATAACTGGATTTTTAATATAGAATTAAAAAATCTTTTTTGTCGTGAAAACAATTTTTTTTGTTTTCTGAACAATTTCAAATTGTTGGACGAACAAAAAATTTGTAACAAACCAGATTTTTTAGTTCTATATTAACAATCGGATTATCAGTATAACAAACCTTTCACCGTCTACCACAATTAATGAAAAGTTTTTATTTGAATAATATTGTACATTGTGTCTGTATTTTAGAATACTTTTTACAAAAATCTGCTTTAAAAATGAAATGAAATTTGTAAATGCAAAAAATATCACAAAAGGTTTTTGTTAAAATTTAACAACAATATTTTTTCCCCAAACATATCTATTTCTGTAAAAAAAATTTTTTCTTTTTATTATACGATTGTTTTTGTTTTATTATTTCAAAATTGATGTTGTAGACGAGCATGTAACTTGATTTAAAAAGAAACATTTTTTTTTTACTCAATTTAATTGGATATTTTTTTTAATGAAATGTTGATAAATATGGTATTTTTTCGTTCGGATAACAAATAACATAACTCCCGCTCAAGAAATAATGATTCCAAAAAAAAAAAAATTTTCCTCAGCATATTTTTTTTTTGAGAAATATTATGTTTTATAAACGGATTATGTTTACCGATTAGTATCGTTGTCTCAAAAAAATACTCAGGGGTGAAAATTTGTATAAGTAAATTTATAAAATCGCAATGAAAGTTTAGAGCTTTTTTTGCATTTGCAAAATAGACGAAAGATCAGCATCTTTTCTTGTGACTGAAATAACTTTTTTTTTTTGTTGGAATGGAAAAAAAGCGGTAAAATGGGTTTTTTTCTCTCTCTTTGAAGAGAAAAGAGGAATCAGATAAGTAAGTTGGAAGCATTTTGATAAGTTTTTATTATTATATATATGTATTTTTTTATGTGTAAACTGCATCGGAAATGTAGAAATGTTGCTTTTTGTGTTCAAAGGGCGTTACAGACTTATCACTATGTGTCGAGTCGCGTATAAGAGGAGAAAGAAAAATAACTATAAAGCACGGACACCCTGACCATGCAATGTTATCTCTCCCACGACCGCCATTCTCTCCTCTCTCACTCTCTCTATTCGCATTGGCGAAGCGTTAGTGCGAGCTTTTCCTAGGTATATAAGGTAGCTGTTCCAAGCGATATTAGCTATTCCAGAGGCGTCTCGACAGTCCAGCATCCCTCGTAGTATTGCCATAGCTGTCCTTCAGTCCCAGGGCGCGGCTCTCATGGTTTCTCTCTTGCGTTACCTATACTTACCTCTCTCATCTCCTTCTCTCTCTCTCTTTCTCTCTACTCGAGGTTCAACCATGTTTCTCTTCTCTCCTTTTTTTTTCTCGACCTAAAGCATTTTGTCAAGTCTCCCGAAGCTCTCAATGCGAAAGGAGAAGTTCTTGTGTGAGGAAAAGAGGATCGTTTGTCAAGTAGACTAAGGCCTTGACGACCACCAGAAATCGTGTATTTATTTCTAAGTAGGTCTCTTCTACAAATACCTTAATCCTCTCTCTTTCTCTCTTACTGTCTGTCTCTCTTTGTCTGTCTGGGAAAATTATTTCTCCTTTAATTGCTGTTGCTATTTTCTTTTATAATACGTTTTTTATAACTGACAATCGA